GATGTAAATAAGAACCGACAATGAAAAGGAACACAAAATTATAATATATTTGACATTCTTTTTGATATAAAAAATAACAACCGTTATTATTAATAATAATAATAATAATAATAATAATAATAATAATAATAATAATAATATTTATTAACAGTTACATGCTTAAAGTATAATTTAACGGGTCAGTTGCTAATCAAAATTTGTAGTATTACAAAATATTAATATTTTAAGAAAATAAATCAGGCATATATTAATTAGAGAAAGAGAAGTGTTTTATTATTGATCACTACCATTTGAAGTATCTACTTTTTTTATAAATTTTTTTAGTAAAACTACAATCGATAAATAATAATAATAATAATAATAATAATAATAATAATAATAATAATAATAATAATAATAATAATAATAATAATAATAATAATAATAATAATAATAATAATAATAATAATAATAATAATAATAATAATAATAAAATGACATAAAGATATTTTAAAGTATGAATTGTATTATTATATGTTAATTTAGATCATGATAGCATATATGATTTCGCTAACTTAAATTTTTAATATAACAAAATATCAATATTGTAAGGAAAAAAGTCAAACATAAATTAGAAAAGAGAAAAATGTTTCAACATTGATCACTATCATTAAAAGTAGTTACACTTTTCTATACAAAATAAATTAAAATAAATTCAAAATAAATACATAAAATTGCATTAATAATTTAAGTTTTTCTCTTTAAGATGTTGTTTCATTCCACCACAAACTATTGTAATTACCACCCCTAAAAAAAGATGGATCAAATCATCAAATGAAAGAAATTAAAGGCTAAATTATTCATGCAGACATCCAAAGTCATTAAAGATTGACTTCATAAAACATCTTCAGCAATTTCTTTATTAAAATGTATAATTTGTGATAACTTAAAATATGTACCTAAAAAAACATAATAAAAAATTAGCAAGGAAGTCTAAATTATTCCTGAAGATATCCAAAGTCATTAAGGATTGATTTCTTAAAACATCTTCAACAATTTCTTTATCAAAAAGTATAGTTTGTGATAACTTAAAATTTGTATTTCAAAAAATATGATAAAAATTTAGAAACAATAATAAAATTAAGAATTAAAGAAATAAGAAATCAAATTTGTCTTTCAAAAAATACAGTTTGTAAAATTTGTATCTACAAAAAAAATTTGATAAAAAATTAATAAACAACAATAACATTAAGAATTGAAGAAATAAGAAATCGAAAAATAAAGACAAATAACCATATTAATGAATAATAAACTTGAACAAAAAGAATAACATAAAAATTATAAATAATATATAGTAATCATAATAAGAATAATATAAATTTGTTAGTTTTGTTGAAAATACTAATTGTTAATCAAAGAAAAGAAATAATGAAAAATAAATATGCAGAAAGAAAATTCTGTAAACGACTCTCATAGGAGAAAATAACGAGGAATAAATATGTACACAAAAATATGAATTTATGTGAAAGTAAATTTGGAATGGTTATTTTTGAAGAAGTTGATAGTTAGAGGTGAGTGATAAGATTTAGTGGATTAATTTTTTAAATAAGTGAACCTAAGACACATTTATTAATTTAATAAAATAAATACAAAATTGTGAATTGAACACGTTATTCTATTTAAACAAATTTTTAGGGGAAGTAAAAATTAGTCATTATTCTCAATTTTAGTATAAATTAAATAAATAAATAAATAATAAAAGGGCAGTTACAAAAACTATATTTAAGTTTTGTCTCCAAAATTTATTAAGATACTTAACAATTTTAATATATAAGATAAATAGAATAACAAAATATAAAAAAAAATTATATATTTATTAATTTAATATGATTATTTTTTATTAATATCATTATTGTCTTTATTTATGCCTCACTTTTAGATAAGAGAGAAAAAAAAAAAAAAAGGATTTTATTATTGATTTGAATTGTTACAAATTGATTTAAAATTAATTTATTTAAATACAATTAACTTATAACTAAATAAACTAACAAACTTTAATTGAGTGTTTACTTAAATTACACGTTTTAAATTATATATAATATTATATCTAATATTCCAATATATATTATAGTTAGAGTAAAAAAAAAGAGAGAGTAAGGGCATGTTTGAAATAGTTCTCAAAAAAAATTTTAAATTGCTAGAAAGTAAAAACTGAAGAATTTGTTTGATAAACTATTTTAAAAATAGTAGTTTTCAAAATTGGTTGTGTTTTTCGGCGCGGTGCGCAAGACGCTTAAGTCTCGTATGGTGCGAGACTTTCGAGACATACTTTTTTTCCTTTGGTTTCTCAATTATTAAGTCGAAATTATTTTGCAGGTATTTTAAACTGTTAAGAATTTTACAAATAAAAAAATTGAATGGTTGAGGTTATTGACCTCTGGTACATATTGTACTAGTAAATAATACTATATACAGAGTCACGATGGAAAGGTGTGGGTGAACAGTGATGATGGAACAAGAACGAAGGGAGAGAATGTTCATACATAGAAGGAACAGAGATCCCGGAATGCTTGTAGATGAAATGATAGAATCAGCATTGGTCGGATTTGAGAGGACCCGACGGTGGTCGAATTTGAGAGGTGGAATGAGAGAAGAGCTCGTGTCTGAGAATTTAAGGGTTTCAGATTTTTTTTTTTTATACATCAGTTTTTTATTTAGGAAAACAAGAAGTGGGCGGAAGTTAAGTAAAAAAAGTAAAAAATTGATTTTTTTTTTAGGAAATTTAAACAATAAAATTGGATATTACTGCGTGTCGAATTTCCCTAATATGCATAAAATAAAAGAATATAGCTAATAATATCGGTTAAAACCGTCGTAATTTACCTATAATAATAGTGTCTCTCAAACCGCCGTAATGCATCGTTAATAATGACGGTTATTAAAAACGCCTTAACAAAACCGCCATAATTTGAATTTTTTTTTGGAATAATCATGTATTAAAATTTTTTTTCCGCAAATAACCATATTTCGAAAAAAATTACCCAAATAACCATGTTTCAGAAAACTCTCTAAGGGAGGAGTCATCTCACTTGGCGCCTACACCTAATTTTTAAGGAGAGGCGCCATCTCACTTGGCGCCTAGGTGTTAAAGTCTTGCCCTAAGTCAAGTGAGATGGCGCCTTAGTGCAATTGCAAGGCAAATTTTTGCGTTTTTTATTTTAAATTTGGTGCGTTACGTATTCGATATATGATCAACAAATTTGACTTTTTATTTACAAAATATGATTACACACATAACTATTATATAAAAAAACAGATTAATCAGTGGTTCCCCGGAACCCGGTAATGACCCCCGGTTCCGCATCCCCGTCCTCGCCTTTCCCGTGCTGGGTTTTGTCGCGTTTCCTACTGTGGCAGGGTCGATGGCCCAGCGAAGTCAATGCGTTCCGGATCCATGAAATCAGTTAGATCTCCATATCTAAAAGATCCGCTTTGGTACAGTCGGTTACCCATACTCTCAAAGTTTGGTCGTGTTGGTGGTGGATGGGGTTCCATGATTGGTCTGTAGCACTGATCGTCTGAGTACGAGGGTAGAAAGGAAATGAATCTTTGGGTGTTTGGTATTGAGGATGTTGGGTGGTTTGGTGATGTTGTGGTTGATGGTAAGTTGGGTCGGTTGGTTCATAATCTTCGGACAATCCCAGATCTGGTTAAGGTTGGATGTTGAGGGGCCCATATTGGGATATGTAGAAGACTGAAATTGTGTGTGGGGTATGCGAGTGTGTAGGGCAAGAATGTGAGTGGAGGCGCCAAGTGAGATGGCTCCTCCCTTGGGAAATTTTCTGAAACATGATTATTTGTGTAATTTTTTCCGAAATATGGTTATTTGCGAAAAAAAATTTTAATACCTAGTTATTCTAAAAAAAAATTCATCTCTCAGTTTTTTTTTGGATGTAATGTAAGGTTTTGCATAATGAAATTATAGCTAATAAATGGGAGAGTTCTATTATTTTATTTCCACCGACTCAAATTTTTGTTTTTTTTTAAAGAGGTAAACATTATCCACTTTTCAATAAAATATAAAGAAAGTGAGTTATGCACTGAACGTGTAAAATTTTTTTATACGGTTAATCAATCACGACTAGGATTATTTACAACTCCATAATGATTAATGACTAAGGTGCACTGTATTTTCTATAGTACGATAATAGTTTCCGCATCTAATATAATGTTTTGCATAATGAAATTATAAGTAGTACATGTGAGAGTTCTATTATTTTATTTTCATTGACTCAATTTTTTGTTTTTTTAAAGAGGTAAACGCTATCCATTTCTCATTAAAATATAGAAAAAATGAGTGATGCAATGACAATGTAAAAAAGTTTTACACTGTCGATCAATTAAGACTGAGATTATTTTAAACTCCAGACACTACAATAAAATTGGTAAATTGCGACAATTATTTTAACAGATTACGATGGTTAAAGCCGCCGCAATTTACAATCTACGACGATTGCAGTATCATCGCAGAATCGTGTGTCCCCAGCCTGTTTTGTGACGATTGTCAAAACCGTCACACCAATCGTCGTTCTCACTCACGATGGTAGAGAACTGATGTAAATTGCAAGTAGCGACAGTTAACAACCGTTGTGAATTTTGTATGGTCTTTTTAACTCAATGCTGATTGCAGAGGTTCATAACCCCCGCTAAATTAATGAATTTAAAAAAATAAAATAAAATAATGATAATGTAACTATAAAATATGTTAATGAAATAGAACAAGAAGAAATACTTAGAACTAATGTAACTACAAATTTGATTATAAACTAATCCAAATATTTTTCATATAAAACAAATCTGATAATGATTAAAATTTACAGTATATGTACATTGTGCAAACATTTGTCTTCATTGAGAGAGAAATGTGATTTTCTTTGATGCCTGATTCTGTAGTTGCATTGCTCTCATCCGTGAAATCTCTTTTCTCCAACTTGTTCTTCGACTGTGATAATCTAAACCTCTTAAGCTAAGTTGATCAAATTAAGCATGTGTGAATAAGACTCTACAACAAAGATTGAATCTCCTACATCTAAATCTGTTATAAATTTTTCAAGCTCTTCAAGCTTTTTAGGATCATGCTTTCTTTCATCATCGTGCATGAAAATCTCTTCCTGCTCCCAATCATCAACCTGTAACAGAAGTACAAGTACAAATATACTCTTAAAGAATATGCACAAACTCATCAAAGTGATTTGAAAGTTTTCGATCCATACCAAGCTAAGTCTCTCTCTCTATAAGATAACTAGTTATGCTATAAAATCTGCACATTGTACTTATATGTGACGGGCTATCCTTATTGCTACTTTGTTCATCAATTTAAGAATTGGCTCTGAAGTTCAAATCTGGGAATAATTCATGCAAAAATGTTTCATAATCCATGGTTTCATAGTTAGACTACGTGATGGGCTTACCTCTAAAGAAACGAACACAGCAAAATACACACAGCTTCAATAAGTCTATAACATGCCATTTAAAGATGTTCTCAAAAGTTTACAAAATTTGTAATTGTTTTAGTGTTTCATTAGCTTTTATTATTTTATTTTGGTTGCATTTTGTCAGACAGTGGCTCTACCTACTTGACATACAACAAGTGATTACAATAAATAATATTGTGATAGTTTAGTTGAAAGAGATGGGAACAGAAAATAACATTGTAACTCAAGTCCTTTAGAGAATCAACTATTTTGGCTCTGTTAGCTAACTTGACAACAATGTCAATGGACTTAGTTGAGTCATACCACAGATCTGAATCACGTACCATATCTTCCTGCTTAATCCAACTTGCTTCTTCCGTTTCCAAAGTTGTTGATGCGTACATCTCACAAGGTTCGCAAAACCTGTATCGCAAAATTAATAATTTGTTGTAGGTTCACGCCAGCCAACGGTTCGTGCAGGTGCACCTACAGATAAACAAATTGACCTCATTATTAGTATGCAAATGATTTACTATGTTATGCTACCTAATGAAACATTGTCTGTTCAATTAAATTGTTAAAACTTTCATGTATAAACTTGATAATGTATTAACACTTGCCACACATGTTACGACTAAAATGTTACTATTGACATTGCGCTGGCACACAACAAGACCGAGCACCACAACATGGTTTCTGGGCACATTCATTTTCGGGTGTTTTTTAGACATTATCCTTTTGGTGCAGAATATATAAATTAAGTTTTTCAAAAATATACTACAACCAGAGAAGGCGAGGCAAGATAGTTAGCTCGAGTCAAGGGATGCACTCGGCCCTCAGAATTACGGTTCCCTGATAGCACAACATACATTATGGTGTCTGCACAAAACCATACAAGAATTTTAAAGTGGTATATGATTAGGATAGCTCCCCTAGAATACTTGGCCTCCACCAGTCAGATTTAGATAGCTCCTTTGGAATACTTGGCCTTCACCAGTCAGATGAATACAATTTTTTTTTTCTTTATAGACATATTGACGATACTTTTATTGCTTTATATAGATAGAAATCAACATGAAAAATTAAAGACCTCGGTAATAGAATTGTAATCAAAAGTGATATCACCATGTTGAATTTTTACACGGAAAGTGCATGGCCAAAGGTGTGACTGGGTGGGCTGCTCAGCTTCATGAGATACAAGGTTTTAAATATCGGCTTCTTCAGTTCCTGAGATGCATGAGCTTCCATATCGACATAATCATTGATGTTAACACATCTAGAAACAATATTAACAGTTTCATTTAAATTGCCCATAACTGAACCAGTGTTCATCAGAACTCCATCGTGCTAGCTTTCCACGTTTTCATGTATACTACAAGCATTAACATACCCACCTACACATTCTGTTAACATGGGGGTCGTGTGGTATTCATTTGAGTCCATCAAGGGTACTGATGCAAAGCAATGATTATTAGGTATCAAATTTTCTTGATCCTTCATAACAACTATATGTGTGAAACATTCTTGTTCCTCTCACATCAGCCAGAACACAGTCACTAGCCTCATGATGCAAATCTATATATCATGTCTCAATCTCAATATGAGCTAATTAAATAATAGAGGCCTAAATGAGAACGACCCTTAATATAATCTGTAACAAATAAGATATAGTAGTATATTAAATCCTCTCACAATACTAAATGATAATTACAAAACAGTAAAGCATTTGAATAGGACATTCAACTGGATTAACCTTTCGTCGGGCTTATGGGACAAAGTTGAGAAACCTAATACAATAAAATCTTAAGTTATAAAAAGACTAAAAAAACATTATGAGAAGCAACAAATTAATATAAAGAATATCCTAAATAACAAAAATAAATTAACCCTAAATCTTGAAAATAAAAAAGAGGGGATAAAAATTAAAAACTCATAAAAAGAAACCACAAAACATATAAGAGGGAGATAAATGTGTTACATACTAAAGTCTAAATCATAAGAGAATGAAGATAAATGTATACACTCTCTTTCGGCGACGAGACAACAATCAGGCTTAGGGGTTTTGAAGAGAACCCATAACATAGGGCACACGGTTAAGAGGCATCTGGAAAACCTTGAATCTCTGCACAAAATTATTGGTACAGTTCATATTCAACAACCAATTGTTAAAAACCCGAACTAATAGTAGCATCATTAGAAAACCCTAATTAATAAAAGCATCAATAGAAAATGATATTGAAACTTACAATTTAATCTATAGAAGGAGAACTTGATGTGAGTTGGGAAGTGAACTTGATGCCCTAATTTTTGCAACTATACAGGAGCTCACCAAACATGAAACACACAAAAGAATGGATTTCGAACTGAGAAGAGTGAGGGAGGATGCTCAGATTCAAAGCGAATCCATTGAAGCTTCTCAACGATCGTATTGATGCCGCTCAACTCAAGGTCTAACCAAAGTCTGTGTGAACAAAGAAAAAATGAAATAAATTAATGGGTTTAGGGTGTTTGTGCACAGGGGAAGGCTTTAGGGTGACGGCAGGTGAGGTTACCGTTGTGCACTTTGATAAAATGTTTAGAACGCGATTGTTAGAGAGTTTATGGGATGACAGTTGTATTTACCATCGTGACTTTGGTAAAAAATTTCAATTTTGAAAGGTTTGGGCGCGACCGTTTTTTACCGTCGTGACTTGTATATTAGGGCAGTTGATGTAATTGTCATAACCTAAATTTTAGGGTGGTTCATGTTACAGTTGTCACAATCTTTATTTATTTTTTAAAAATGTAAGGTCAGTTGGTCTAAATTGTCGTAGAAACCGTTTGTATAGGAGATTTCTGACGGTTATCAAGTAACTGTCGCAATTTTTGTATTATAAAACTCTAATTTTCTTGTAGTAAGAATGATTAACGACTATGGTGCTGTGCTTTTTCTATAGTACGGTAAGAATTTCCGTATGTAATATAATGTTTTGCATAATGAAATTATAACTAATAAATATGAGAGTTCTATTATTTTATTTTCATCGACTTAAATTTTTTTTCTAAAGAGCTAAACGCTATCTACTTCTCATTAAAATATACAGAAAATGAGTGACGCATTGACAATGTAAAAAAATTTACACTGACAATCAATCACGATCATCCGTCAAGTCAGACTGTAATTTAAAAAAATATATGACATGGTGAAACAATATGTTTCTATTGAATGACAGTATAAAACTCTTTTACACTGTCATTGCATTTTCTTATATATATATATATATATATATATATATATATATATATATATATATATATATATATATATATATATATATATATATATATATATATATATATATATATATATATATATATATATATATATATATATATATATATATATATATATATATATATATATATATATATGATCTGACCTGATCAGAAATGGACCGTCACGGCTGGCTCCGAGCTGAAAGCTTTTTGAACGAGGTGGGGGGGGGGGGGTACCTGCAAGACACTCCGATGCTGAAGTAAGTAGAAGCACGAGCAGATAATAGCTAGTGTATGGGTAGAATGATGAATACCTGACCCTCTGGAGACAGAGGGTATTTATAGCCCCCAACGCTGGGCCAAGGTTCCTCCCTTGGGCCGGGCAGGTTTGGCCCAATGGAGGAACTGCCAGGTTCTACGTGCGTAGTGGGGACCCGCACGTGGTCCCCTTCCTGGATGTTCTGCGTGAAGTGCGGACGGACGGAGACGCGGTATTTTCGGGGTCTCGTTGGGAGTGCAGTGGACTGAGTCTGCCCAGTTGGGGTGCTCGAGGTGATGTCGAGCTGGACAGCAGGATGTCGAGCTGGAGATGTAGAGGTCGAGCAAGTAACCTCAGGGAGCGCGTCGGGCACGACTGTGACCCTTTGATCGGCGTGGTCCTCAGCAAGTCCATTTGGATTGGGCCTTAGTAATGCTATTGGGCCTGTCGGGCCCAGTCCAGAACAGGAGCCCCCCAAGTCGTGGTTCCTTTGTTAGGAGCCATGGCTTGATCTCAGGTCGTTTCCGCTTCGGGGTCTCGCGCCTGGGTCAGAGATGCAGGTCCTCGAGGGCCTCTCCGTGTCGTGCTCGGAGACAAATCTTTCGCGGTGGATGCTCGGGGGATCCTCACCGGCGCGTGTCTGTCGAGCACACGAGGTATCTTTCGGGAACTGTGTCGCCACCCTATGATGATAGGGTCATCATTGCGTTGGGAGCAGTGCGTCGAGGAGAGAAACTCCGTGGTTGCCCGAGGTGACGTTTGGTATTCCACGTCATCACTATAAATAGGATCCTTGGGCCCCATAACGCGTTTCTACTCTTTGCGCTCCTACTGCTGCTGTTCTTCCAGATTTTTCATAGCTGCGATCTCCGTTACAGATTCTTTTCCTCCGTAGCCGAATCCACTTCTTGATTCCAAGTAAGTGACTTATCTTCTTTATTTTCCTGTTGTAATGCATGATTTTAAGCGTTGTAGACGTTTTAGGGACTGTGCGCGTGGGACTAGCCCGGTAAACTCATGTTTAGCTCGACATATTCATGCTTAGGACCGGCAAACACATGCTCGTGGCCGGTAGATACATAGTTTAGGTAATAATCTGCAGCGCTACCCGTGGTCTTCATGATCCAGGGCGCCTGATTCATGATCGTGCCCGGTATGTTCATGGTTCCGGCCGTAGGTTGCATGATGTTGCTCGCCATGTTCATACCTTGGGTCGGCATGTTGGAGAGTGGCCGCGTTGTCGGTTTGCTCAGGCGGTTTGGAGAAGGGCCCATCGAGTTATCTGGACGTCGGGGAGGCGATTGCTTTCTTGTTGCAAACTAACTTTTGTGGTCGTGCATGGAACGACGTGGTTTGTCATACACTACATCTGGTCCGCTACGTCGAGCGTATGGTTTCGTGCCCAATTGACTGGTTTCCCGTGTTCTATAGGTAACCATGGAGGACGAGCCGTGCTCCTCTGGACGCCCCGAACAGGAGGAACAAAGTTCCGATGAGGCGGTGAGTTTGATCGATACTGTCGACGACCCTCTGTTGGATTGGGTGGGCGCCGAGCCCCGAGGAATCGCGTCGATATATAGCCGGCGTGACCGAAAGCCATATGGTATCCTTGAGGCGGGCCACGGTCAGCATGATTTTCAAAAGAATTTTGTTGTTACGCGACCGACCTCCAATGCCCGGATCTGCTCGGTGTACCCCGAGTATAGTTTCCCAATGTACGAGATCGCGTTCAAAGATCTTGGGCTGCAGCTGCCCTTTAGTGACTTTCAGACCGGGGTCTTCGCCCATCTGGGGCTGGCCCCGTCGCAGCTACACCCGAACTCACTCGCCTTTATCCGGGCGTTTGAGCTGACATGTCGCTTTCTGAGGATTGGGGCGACGATACCTCTC